TTGTTTTTTTTTTTTTTTTTTTTGTCACGAAAGGACTGACTCACTTTTCGACAGTCACCCGTCATGAACTGGGAGCTCAACACGTGGCAGTGAATTTGGTAGGACACCTGCACTGCACCAAACCCTCTGCCTGTGTCAATGGCTTCTCTTCTAGAATGAGAGAGGATTCCACTGCAGAATTTAAAAAAAAAAAAAAGATCTGCTGCCCTACTGTTGTTTATTGTCCCCAAATTTCCGTCAAATTACACTTCCATGCCACTCTCCCATCTCTCTATTGGTCTCAACTAACGCATGACATAATAACACTAAACTATAGTATACAAACAAGAATGTTTCATAAAAAGCATATCATAGTATCTTAATATAAGATGTCTACTCGTTTAGCACTTGAGTCAATATGTAATATATACACACAGACCAGCAATACCTTCAGATGATTATGTCATCTTATTGCTTTAGCTCGAATATATAAGATTTACCGTCTTATGATTAGATTTTTTTCTGGTCATTTACCTTAATAATTTATCTGACCCATTTTTCTGATTGTTGACATGTTTATTGGATTTTTTTTTTTATAAACCATTTGGCCACATAATGTAGTCGACTTCCTTTTTCAAAATTCTGGAATACTACCCTTTTGGGGTACCAAAATTACAAAAAACACATTAAATTTTTATATGTAAAGTATGCAAAATTGAATTAAATTCATACATGAAAAGTAGATTTAAATGCATTAAAGTAAGTGACAAGTGTAGTTTTTGAAATAATAAAATAATGAAATCCATAACGTCTTCCAATTTTAACCGTGATTGTTTTTTTTTATCGTTTACTATTTTCATAAAAGATGTGAAAAAAAAGGAAAATAAAAAAGGAAATCTTAAAAAAAAAAAACAGTTCACCGAACGCGAACTAAACCCTATATATAATCCCCTCTAGATTCATTGCTTAATAATCCTTCTCTCATCTCGTTTTCACTCTTTCGCTCGTCTTCTGTGTGTCGGTGATCAGATCTCATCCACGAGACATCTCGATTTCCCCCGACAAACGTGCGTCCGAGACAATGTTGCTACTCAGCTTTCATTCACTGCTCGATTTGTGTTAGCTGTTGTTGTCGAATTCGGTGGTTTGGTGTTCGACCGCACGGAGAGGCTTCTTCTGTTGCGTGCGGGAGGTGCATGAGAAATTCGCCTGCAATTCTCTGTCCCTCGGTTGTCGATTGCCGGAGCAGAACCAGGTGGGATTCTGGTCTCGTGATCCGTGGTAGCGGCTGATCTGATTGATCCCTCTTCGCCTCATCCTCAATTCGGGTTTTTTCCCTTTTCAGGTCCAATCCGGTTCCCGAGATCCAGGGTTTTAGTTTTTTTTTCTTTCTCGTGGGTTCATCTACTTGCTTGATTGAGTTGTCGGTGAGCACGATGCAGCAAGATCATCGCAAGAAGGTGAGTCTGTTTTCCTCGAATTTTGGTGTTCTATCGATCCAGCCAGTTATTGTCAAGTATCTTGTCGTGAGGTATTCATGGATTTTGGATTTTTCATGGTTTTGGGCAACGGTGGTCTTTGTTTGTTTCAAAGAGAAACGACATTCGGTTTTGTACGTTACGAGTGTAAAAGGACAACGTATAATTAAGACAATATGTCTCGTCGCAGATATTTGTTTCTTGTATCAGAAAGTGCACCATTGATCCATGATCCATCTGATTTAAGACAATATGTCTCTACCTGAAACCCACTGCATCAGATTCTAGTTCTGTTTTTTTTTTTGTTCCTGAAAACATCGGCTCTGAATTGAGGTTTAAACTCAAATACCTCAATCCTTATTGCAATGTTGATTATCTCTTTTTTTTTAAAGATAAATTCTTAGACTTTTGTCATCTCTGTGTTCTTCTCTTCACTTGTGTGTTTACCCGATTGACTTTGCAGTCCCAATGTGATTGCTTAAAGTGATGAATTTGATTTCATTCGGATATGGGTGTCTGATTGAACCTAGGTTTACATGAATTAAGGCATTTGAAAGTTATCAGCTTTTAGTTTTTTTTTTTTTGTGTCTTTTTTGTGGGAGGAAACATCCAAATTTTGTGTTGGTTAGAAGGAATTGATCTTCAGTGGGATATGAAGTACATTTGATGATAAGTGACTATTCAACATTCTTTGGCGGGATTTGTTTCATTTTGCACGTCTAATATCCACTTTCTTTGCCTACATTATCAGATACTGGCTTCAACAGCATGTTCTTAAAAGATCGGATCTGATTGCAGTTGGAGTTTTTTTCATTAAGTATTGCAGTGATAAATGTGTTAGTATGTGTGTATGTATTGAATGACAATAGCATACATGGCGTCTTGCACTGGAATCTTCCCTGGCTTAATTATTACATTGTGCAACAGAGTACTCTGGAGATGGAGTTCTTTTCCGAATATGGTGATGCCAATAGATTTGAAATTCAGGAAGTGATTGGAAAAGGCAGCTACGGAGTAGTCTGTTCAGCGAGAGACACCCTAACGGGTGAGAAAGTTGCGATAAAGAAAATACACAACATTTTTGAGCATATATCTGATGCTGCGAGGATACTGCGTGAGATAAAGCTGCTCAGACTTCTAAAGCATCCGGATATCGTTGAAATTAAGCACATTATGCTTTCCCCTTCAAGGAGAGAATTCAAAGATATTTTTGTTGTTTTCGAGCTCATGGAATCGGACCTTCATCAAGTCATCAAAGCCAATGATGATTTGACACGGGAGCATTATCAGTTTTTTCTTTACCAATTACTCCGAGCACTGAAGTATATGCACACCGGTAATTTTTTCTTCCTTTCGATATCGAGTCATATTGTTGTTCTTATGTTTCCTCCCATTCCCTACATGGGTTGATCCGTTTTGTTTTTCAAACCGTAGAATAGTTTTACGCTTACAAACTAGAATATACTGTAAGTTTGGCTTTTCTACTTGGGATTTTACCGTGCTTTATCTTTATCTTCTTGATTTACTTCATAAACCTATGCATGGGATGAATTATAGATAGTTGTAGTGCTACTTATGTAGTTTCTCATGCCTTGGAATTGCTATTAGTACATATTTGTCTTCTGAAAAATTTTCCTATCATTGTGTCTGAACTTACCCCTACTAGAGATTCTATCCATGTTATCTATCTTGTTGCAGCTAACGTCTACCACCGTGACCTGAAACCAAAGAACATATTGGCAAATGCAAACTGTAAACTTAAGATTTGTGATTTTGGGCTAGCAAGGGTTGCTTTCAGTGACACGCCGACAACCGTCTTCTGGACGGTAGGCTGTTGGAGAAGATTCATTAAGAGTTATATTCTCCTAATGACTATTCAACCTTATATTGGACATATTTGCAGGACTATGTTGCTACAAGATGGTATAGAGCTCCAGAGCTTTGTGGATCCTTTTACTCTAAGGTGCTTCATCTGTAGTCATTAACATCTTTAACTGAAGTATTGCGATTTAGCTTTAAGAAGCATACAGTCGCTGGTCTTGTAATATGTTTTTTTGAAGTCTGCACCTCTTTGTTTCCAGGTTCAAACTCTGCATTCATTTTTACTACAAGATATGAAGATAACATGTGATGTATTTGGCTTTGTAGTACACTCCTGCAATTGATATCTGGAGTATTGGCTGCATTTTTGCGGAGGTATTGACAGGAAAGCCAATTTTCCCTGGAAAAAATGTTGTTCACCAGCTCGATCTGATGACTGATCTGCTTGGGACACCTTCACTGGACACCATCTCCAGCGTATTGGTCTTCTTGTCAAAAGAATGCAATTTTTTCCCAACAAAATCTAGTCAAAAGACTTAAGATGAGGATTGTACTTTTTGGATATGCAGGTACGAAATGAGAAGGCGAGGAAGTATTTGATAAGCATGAGGAAAAAGCCACCCATTCCTTTCGCTCAGAAATTTCCAAATGCTGATCCTTTGGCTCTGAAGTTGCTGGAGAGGCTTCTTGCCTTTGATTCAAAAGATCGGCCAACTGCTGAAGAGGTTATTTTCCAACTCCTAACATGAATTTCTTTTCTTATTTCTACGACATTTTTTCCCTATCAAGTGCAGAGTTTGCCATTCATGTTTGAATCCTTTGTTGTGACCCATAAACTTGACCCTGTCATATATATACTTTTAATCAGGCACTTGCAGATCCATATTTCAAGGGGCTGGCAAGAGTTGAGAGGGAGCCTTCATGTCAGCCAATCACGAAAATGGAATTTGAGTTTGAGAGACGAAAGGTCACAAAAGAAGATATAAGAGAGCTGGTTTTCCAGGAGATACTCGAGTACCATCCGCAACTGTTGAAAGATTACATGAATGGTACTGATAGGGCCAGCTTTCTCTATCCGAGGTACTAATTGTTTGTGATTACTACATTCTTAGCAGGCACCGATAAGGTTGGTTATGGGTTTCTCATATCTACCATGACTTCAATGCAAATATTTACGGTGTAGTGTTGTCGATCAATTTAGAAGACGGTTTGCTCATCTCGAAGAAAACGGAGGCAAACCCACCGGGTCGGAGACTCCTCTCGAAAGGAAACATGTCTCTCTTCCGAGGTAAATTCATTTTTCTCCCGACGTTCCTTGTGGCTCATGGAACTTTTTTCTGGTTTCGGTTTCTATGTTTTCCCCCAAGCACAAATCTGGAAACTGTTAATTGCTTCGCACTAGCTAATTGATACCGAGATTTTCCTATTCGAGAATCGAAATAGAACATTCTGTTTTAGGCTTAATCAGAAATGGTAGTAAATATGCTGATGATTTGTTACATTGTCTTCATCTTGATCATGTGTTGAGTATTGACTTCTACCAAAGTACCAGTGTCGGTTTTCCAATCTTTGATATTCTTTTTAGTTCGGACACTACTTCCCTCTTTCAGTCAGCTTTACAGTTCTCTGTTAGATGACAAGAGCTTGTCGTGTCTTCATTCTCTCAGATCCACAGTCGTGCATTCAAGTACAGTTTCTCGCGGAGGACAACCCAGAATCGCTTATAATACCGCTAATACCTCGGCCCCGGAAATGGTTCAAAATGTTGCGATGGATCAACAATCATCTCTACAGGCGCATGAACTAGGAAACCAGTCGGGTAAATTCTGATCTTTTAATTCGAACCCCGATGTTTCAAACTGTTACGTTGAAAAAAAAGAAGTAATGATCTGTCTATATACAGCTTCCAAACCAAGTGCATTCACTGGCCCGGTTGCACCTTTCGACAACCGAAGAACCGGGAGAGAGGCATATGATCCAAGATCGTTCATCCGGAGCACCACTTCCATCCCAGCCCAGGCTGCCTGTGCCTACCGAAACCCTAACATAGGTCCGGAATTCACACCGGAAGTGGCAATCGACATAGACAACAACCCGTTTATAATGACTCAAACGGGAATGAACAAGGCCGAAAGCATAAGCATCGACACAAACTTGTTGCAGGCAACAAGAACTGCTCAGTACGGCGGAATTGGAGCCGCCGCCGGGGTGGTGGGAGCGGCGGCTGGGCTGAGTGCCTCTGCCTACCACCGCAAAGTTGGAACTGTTCAGTATGGTATGTCGAAGATGTACTAAAAGTTTTTTTAAGTTTTTTTTTTTTTGGAATTGTGTTTTGCGAACATGTCAAAGTTCGGACATATGTTTCAGCTTCGGTCTGTAAATGTCAAGCAGCTGTGTTCATGCTTTGGTTGTTCACTTCATCCTTTGGTATTTTTTTTAATTGTTTTTTTTTTTCAGATACACAATGGATAAATCTTTGAGCAGGCATGTGCTACATGCTACTATTTAATTTAATTTTTATATCTTTAATCCAATAAAATAAAAACCAAGGCATGATTTTCTCTTCAAAATATACAGCAATTATTTATATGCTATTTAATGACCCTCAGACGTGTCAATCTCCCATTGGACAAAAGATTTTTGTTGGGAAAGAACAAATTTAATTTCACATGCTCCTTCCTTACAATATTGGCGCTTTTACAAATATGTCCCCAATGTTTTGCAAAAGAAAGCCCTTAAATCTATAATTAGTAATCTTCAATACGAAATAAAAAAGCCTAGACTATTATTATTATAATTTGATACTAGAAATTTGAGTATAGAATTAGGAGATATTTTTATTATTAAAATTTAAAATTATAATATATAGATCAAATATTGTCATAAAAAAAATGGAATTGTATGTTATTAATACTCAAAAATAAAAATGAGATCAAATTTTAAGTATTATAAAATATGATGATAGTTTTCTAAATTCTTTGTTCATGTCTATTACGCACCGATATTATTTATTTCTTTTTTTTTCCTCCAAAAACATTAAATAATCCTGAAGAAAAAAAATCAAAAAGAGAGTGATTCCAAATTCAAGGGAGATTCGAATTAATGCACAAACAGTGGAGAGAGTGTTTGTGGGGAGCCTTTGAAACAGTTGATCAACTGTTGCAGACAGACAAAGACGATTGAGGAGTCGAGTGTTGTCTTTCGGACAACGTGAAATAACATTTCGAATTCTTAATTTAAGTTTTGGTTCGGCAGATTTCTAGAGCTATTGAAATATGAATTTAAATGTTTTGGATTTTGATCATAAAAAAAAATATACTCGAATACAAATTTTATATTATATTTGAATCCTCGATTAAACATTCGTGTCGGCCAGATGGTAGGGTTAGTCACAGATACTAGGATTTGATTTCGAATCCGGTAACATGTTTTTTTTTTTGGTTTGCTGAAACTATAATTCAAATAATGGATAATCTGATTTAGAATTCAAATTTAAAATATTAGATTTTCCAATAATTACCCAATAAAATGAATAAAAATATCTGAAAATCGGTAAATATAACTAAGTATTAATATTTAATATTTTTAAATAAGAAATACCGAAATACTATTCGGTATTTCTCGAGCTGAACCGAACCGTTGGATACCCTTAATTTTGTAGTTACGTAGTTTGCGGAATCTTTCATGTGAATATTGCATATACGTGTTATATTTGTTACATCGACTAGGCATTTCGATCAATCATAATATCATATAAATCTCGCTATAACAATCAACCGCAAAACTTATGCAACCTCCATAGAAAATGAGCAAAATGCGAAATTCGTGGTAAATTCGAGATTATATTTTTAAAAGATGTTATGATATATAACCAATCCCTTGTATGTATATATATATAAGCAAAGAGATTGATTATTTTTTTTTTATAATAATTCGATCAATCATAATATCATATAAATCTCGCTATAACAATCAACCGCAAAACTTATGCAACCTCCATAGAAAATGAGCAAAATGCGAAATTCGTGGTAAATTCGAGATTATATTTTTAAAAGATGTTATGATATATAACCAATCCCTTGTATGTATATATATATAAGCAAAGAGATTGATTATTTTTTTTTTATAATAATAAACTATATCTTTGTTTTTTTTTGTGTAACTAAATTTTAAATGGACCTTCCACATGCAATGGCATAAAAAAGAATATCCTATATGAATATACTTCCATGCCTCTCAACATGTGTATATTTATACACTTGTTTTTTTTCTCCATAAATCATATCGATAAATGTAGTTTTTTTTTACCGAATTTAGGTTAGTGTGTGTATATATATATATACACACATGGGCGGAGCTAGAGAAATATTTAGAAAAGGGCACAATCTAATTTTAATATTTTATATGGGGTTATTTAGTAAATATATTTAAAATTTTATAAAGAAATTTAATATGTTTTTATGAAAATTACTGGGGGCATGTGCCACATTCGTCGTGTCTTGCGTCCGCCCCTCTCTCTCTCTATATATATATATGTTAATGATTAGCATCTCTATGACCACACATATACATACATACATATATATATATATGCCTCTTTATATATAAGAATAGAAACAGATTTAAGGTTTGGCGTGTTGATCTAATGGAATATTATTACATCGATTCGTTTGCAATATGATTTCTCAAAAGATGAAAAACATGTTCCCACCCCCCACGACCCCACCCGTCTCTTTCAGTCACTTCATCTTCCCTTCTTTATCATTCTCTCTCTCTCTCTCTCTCTCTCTCTCTCTCTCTCTCTCTCTCTCTCTCTCTCTCTGCCCCTTGCTTGGTGGATTCGTGTTGCTCGCTTTGTTTGCGTCTTGTCCAATCCCATATTAAGCACCCCCCTTTAGGGCTCGATCGTTTTTAAACTAAATAAACCGGAAATATCTTTTTTTTTTGTTGGGTTTTGTCCCAAAGATTACACCTTTTTCAAGATTCTACCAATGATCCAAACTATATAAACTAACATAGGCCATCATGATTTGCCCATATAGAGCTTATATATATATACACGTATATATATATACACATTAGTATAATCCATGATTCCAACGTTGGACCATTATGAGACCATCCTGAAGAGAATTCGCTTAGTCTCTCCCTCTCAACCCTCCAAAAAATGCTCTCTTCATCGTCTCTCCCTCACTCTCTCTTGTTCATCGTCTCTCTCATCCTCGGCCATGCAAACGCGGAGCAGCAACCGAACTCTCTCCCTCCTTCTGAGTCGGAGACTCTCTTCACTATCATGGAGTCTATGTCCTCCGACCATCAATGGCGCCTCTCCTATCCGAACCCTTGTGCCCCTGGCTCGTCCTGGCCCGGTATTGAGTGCAGAACCGGACCGGATCGTGTCCTTCATGTCTCTCGCCTCGACTTCGGTTCCCCACCTAACCCTTCTTGCAAGTCGTCTGCCTCTTTTCCTCGCCTCATCTTCTCTCTACCTCACCTTCAATCCGTCTTCTTCTTCGGCTGCTTCACTCGCTCGCGCGCCACCATTGTTTCCCCCTCCAACAAGCTTTTCTTCAACTCTTCTCTGCAACAGCTCAGCCTCAGATCAAACCCTTCTCTCACCGGATCCATCCCTCCTTGGATTTCTTCCCTTACGTCGTTAAAGACCCTCACTCTGTCCCAAAACCGATTGACAGGAAACATCCCATCGGCGATTTTCACATTAGAGAACTTAATACACCTTGACTTGAGCTACAACATGCTCACGGGGATCATTCCCCTGCAACTGGGCAATCTCAAGAACCTCGAAGGCTTGGACTTGAGCTATAATTCGCTCGTGGGTTCGATCCCTCGCACGATTTCCGAACTGGGTTTGCTTCAGAAGCTCGATCTGAGCTCAAACTCTCTGTTTGGCGCAATCCCCGACGGCATAGAGAAGCTACGTTCTCTGTCTTTCATGGCTTTAAGCAACAACAAACTCAGAGGGCCGTTTCCGAAGGGAATTTCCAGGTTGCAGAACTTGCAGTACTTCATCATGGATGATAATCCGATGTTCGTTCCTCTTCCCGCTGAATTAGGGTTCCTCGCTGGGCTCCAAGAACTCCGTCTCTCTAACTCAGATTATTCCGGGAAAATTCCAGAGAGTTACACAAAGTTGACGAATCTAAGCTCGCTGTCTCTGTCGGGCAACAAATTGACAGGCGAAATCCCATCTGGGTTTGGCTCTCTGCCTCACATTTTCCATCTAAATCTCAGCAGG